CGTCGTCGTCGTCGTCGTCGTCGTCGTCGTCGTCGTCGTCGTCGTCGTCGTCGTCGTCGTCGTCGTCGTCGTCGTCGTCGTCGTCGTCGTCGTCGTCGTCGTCGCGGCGTCGTCGTCGTCGTCGTCGTCGTCGTCGTCGTCGTCGTCGTCGTCGTCGTCGTCGTCGTCGTCGTCGTCGTCGTCGTCGTCGTCGTCGTCGTCGTCGTCGTCGTCGTCGTCGTCGTCGTCGTCGTCGTCGTCGTCGTCGTCGTCGTCGTCGTCGTCGTCGTCGTCGTCGTCGTCGTCGTCGTCGTCGTCGTCGTCGTCGTCGTCGTCGTCGTCGTCGTCGTCGTCGTCGTCGTCGTCGTCTACATTTTTACATTTTACATATTTACATGTTAAATTTTAACATTTTTATGATCAAGTCTTTCCCTTGCAACTGACCTGGTAGCCTCGTCTAGTATGAGGATGGATGGGATTTTCAGTAGAGCACGGGCGATAGCTATCCTCTGTTTCTGGCCCCCAGACACGGTAACTCCTCTCTCCCCCAGAATGGTACTGTAGCCATCAGGGAACTGTCGGATAAAACTGTCAGCATTGGCCACAGCAGCCTCGTACACCTGTGACAAAGATTAATTAAATTAGTAATACCAAACTAGTGACAGGTAATACAAACAAAGTAACATAGAATCAAACCAGCTACCTTCTAATTACAAGGCGAGTACAGCAGTACTATAATCACTCAACCACCAAGCTGACATAAAAACTTTTACTCATACCAGTACTCATAACGTTTTTAATATGTTACATTTTAACAAGTTACCTTTAAGCATGTTACATTTTAAAAGGTTACAATTTTACATGTTACATTTTTACATGTTACATTTTAATATGTTACATTTTAACACGTTACATTTAAGCATGTTACATTTTAAAATGTTACATTTTAACACGTTACATTTTAACATGTTACATTTTAACTACTTATATTTCCACATGTTACATTTTTACATGTTACATTTTAACATGTTTTACGATCAAGTCATTCCCTTGCAACTGACCTGGTAGCCTCGTCTAGTATGAGGATGGATGGGATTTTCAGTAGAGCGCGGGCGATAGCTATCCTCTGTTTCTGGCCCCCAGACACGGTAACTCCTCTCTCCCCCAGAATGGTACTGTAGCCATCAGGGAACTGTCGGATAAAACTGTCAGCATTGGCCAGCCCAGCAGCCTCGTACACCTGTGACAAAGATTAATTAAATTAGTAATACCAAACTAGTGACAGGTAATACAAACAAAGTAACATAGAATCAAACCAGCTACCTTCTAATTACAAGGCGAGTACAGCAGTACTATAATCACTCAACCACCAAGCTGACATAAAAACTTTTACTCATACCAGTACTCATAACGTTTTTAATATGTTACATTTTAACAAGTTACCTTTAAGCATGTTACATTTTAAAAGGTTACAATTTTACATGTTACATTTTTACATGTTACATTTTAATATGTTACATTTTAACACGTTACATTTAAGCATGTTACATTTTAAAATGTTACATTTTAACACGTTACATTTTAACATGTTACATTTTAACTTCTTATATTTCCACATGTTACATTTTTACATGTTACATTTTAACATGTTTTACGATCAAGTCATTCCCTTGCAACTGACCTGGTAGCCTCGTCTAGTATGATGGATGGGATTTTCAGTAGAGCGCGGGCGATAGCTATCCTCTGTTTCTGGCCCCCAGACACGGTAACTCCTCTCTCCCCCAGAATGGTACTGTAGCCATCAGGGAACTGTCGGATAAAACTGTCAGCATTGGCCAGCCCAGCAGCGACGTACACCTGTGACAAAGATTAATTAAATTAGTAATACCAAACTAGTGACAGGTAATACAAACAAAGTAACATAGAATCAAACCAGCTACCTTCTGATTACAAGGCGAGTACAGCAGTACTATAATCACTCAACCACCAAGCTGACATAAAAACCGTCGTCGTCGTCGTCGTCGTCGTCGTCGTCGTCGTCGTCGTCGTCGTCGTCGTCGTCGTCGTCGTCGTCGTCGTCGTCGTCGTCGTCGTCGTCGTCGTCGTCGTCGTCGTCGTCGTCGTCGTCGTCGTCGTCTACATTTTTACATTTTACATATTTACATGTTACATTTTAACATTTTTATGATCAAGTCTTTCCCTTGCAACTGACCTGGTAGCCTCGTCTAGTATGAGGATGGATGGGATTTTCAGTAGAGCACGGGCGATAGCTATCCTCTGTTTCTGGCCCCCAGACACGGTAACTCCTCTCTCCCCCAGAATGGTACTGTAGCCATCAGGGAACTGTCGGATAAAACTGTCAGCATTGGCCAGCCCAGCAGCCTCGTACACCTGTGACAAAGATTAATTAAATTAGTAATACCAAACTAGTGACAGGTAATACAAACAAAGTAACATAGAATCAAACCAGCTACCTTCTAATTACAAGGCGAGTACAGCAGTACTATAATCACTCAACCACCAAGCTGACATAAAAACTTTTACTCATACCAGTACTCATAACGTTTTTAATATGTTACATTTTAACAAGTTACCTTTAAGCATGTTACATTTTAAAAGGTTACAATTTTACATGTTACATTTTTACATGTTACATTTTAATATGTTACATTTTAACACGTTACATTTAAGCATGTTACATTTTAAAATGTTACATTTTAACACGTTACATTTTAACATGTTACATTTTAACTACTTATATTTCCACATGTTACATTTTTACATGTTACATTTTAACATGTTTTACGATCAAGTCATTCCCTTGCAACTGACCTGGTAGCCTCGTCTAGTATGAGGATGGATGGGATTTTCAGTAGAGCGCGGGCGATAGCTATCCTCTGTTTCTGGCCCCCAGACACGGTAACTCCTCTCTCCCCCAGAATGGTACTGTAGCCATCAGGGAACTGTCGGATAAAACTGTCAGCATTGGCCAGCCCAGCAGCCTCGTACACCTGTGACAAAGATTAATTAAATTAGTAATACCAAACTAGTGACAGGTAATACAAACAAAGTAACATAGAATCAAACCAGCTACCTTCTAATTACAAGGCGAGTACAGCAGTACTATAATCACTCAACCACCAAGCTGACATAAAAACTTTTACTCATACCAGTACTCATAACGTTTTTAATATGTTACATTTTAACAAGTTACCTTTAAGCATGTTACATTTTAAAAGGTTACAATTTTACATGTTACATTTTTACATGTTACATTTTAATATGTTACATTTTAACACGTTACATTTAAGCATGTTACATTTTAAAATGTTACATTTTAACACGTTACATTTTAACATGTTACATTTTAACTTCTTATATTTCCACATGTTACATTTTTACATGTTACATTTTAACATGTTTTACGATCAAGTCATTCCCTTGCAACTGACCTGGTAGCCTCGTCTAGTATGAGGATGGATGGGATTTTCAGTAGAGCGCGGGCGATAGCTATCCTCTGTTTCTGGCCCCCAGACACGGTAACTCCTCTCTCCCCCAGAATGGTACTGTAGCCATCAGGGAACTGTCGGATAAAACTGTCAGCATTGGCCAGCCCAGCAGCGACGTACACCTGTGACAAAGATTAATTAAATTAGTAATACCAAACTAGTGACAGGTAATACAAACAAAGTAACATAGAATCAAACCAGCTACCTTCTGATTACAAGGCGAGTACAGCAGTACTATAATCATTCAACCACCAAGCTGACATAAAAACCGTCGTCGTCGTCGTCGTCGTCGTCGTCGTCGTCGTCGTCGTCGTCGTCGTCGTCGTCGTCGTCGTCGTCGTCGTCGTCGTCGTCGTCGTCGTCGTCGTCGTCGTCGTCGTCGTCGTCGTCGTCGTCGTCGTCGTCGTCGTCGTCGTCGTCGTCGTCGTCGTCGTCGTCGTCGTCGTCGTCGTCGTCGTCGTCGTCGTCGTCGTCGTCGTCGTCGTCGTCGTCGTCGTCGTCGTCGTCGTCGTCGTCGTCGTCGTCGTCGTCGTCGTCGTCGTCGTCGTCGTCGTCGTCGTCGTCGTCGTCGTCGTCGTCGTCGTCGTCGTCGTCGTCGTCGTCGTCGTCGTCGTCGTCGTCGTCGTCGTCGTCGTCGTCGTCGTCGTCGTCGTCGTCGTCGTCGTCGTCGTCGTCGTCGTCGTCGTCGTCGTCGTCGTCGTCGTCGTCGTCGTCGTCGTCGTCGTCGTCGTCGTCGTCGTCGTCGTCGTCGTCGTCGTCGTCGTCGTCGTCGTCGTCGTCGTCGTCGTCGTCGTCGTCGTCGTCGTCGTCGTCGTCGTCGTCGTCGTCGTCGTCGTCGTCGTCGTCGTCGTCGTCGTCGTCGTCGTCGTCGTCGTCGTCGTCGTCGTCGTCGTCGTCGTCGTCGCTCGTCGTCGTCGTCGTCGTCGTCTACATTTTTACATTTTACATATTTACATGTTAAATTTTAACATTTTTATGATCAAGTCTTTCCTTGCAACTGACCTGGTAGCCTCGTCTAGTATGAGGATGGATGGGATTTTCAGTAGAGCACGGGCGATAGCTATCCTCTGTTTCTGGCCCCCCAGACACGGTAACTCCTCTCTCCCCCAGAATGGTACTGTAGCCATCAGGGAACTGTCGGATAAAACTGTCAGCATTGGCCAGCCCAGCAGCCTCGAGCAGCCTCGTACACCTGTGACAAAGATTAATTAAATTAGTAATACCAAACTAGTGACAGGTAATACAAACAAAGTAACATAGAATCAAACCAGCCTACCTTCTAATTACAAGGCGAGTACAGCAGTACTATAATCACTCAACCACCAAGCTGACATAAAAACTTTACTCATACCAGTACTCATAACGTTTTAATATGTTACATTTTAACAAGTTACCTTTAAGCATGTTACATTTTAAAAGGTTACAATTTTACATGTTACATTTTTACATGTTACATTTTAATATGTTACATTTTAACACGTTACATTTAAGCATGTTACATTTTAAAATGTA